GGGATTTAAATTAGTACAGAATTAGAAAACACAGGGGAAAAAAATGTTAGTGAATGTCAAAGGCAAATTTTGCAAGCCTCGCCTCATTTTAATGCTATCTTTCTAAAATTCTGCAGAAATTCTATTCATACTGCATTAACCATTATAATTAATGTTTTAGATGTTCCCTTTAATATGTAAACAGTTTCTACTAACAATCAATAAAAGCTTTATTTTTATTATTATTGGGACAAAAAAAATTGTGTCCCTCCAAATTAAATTTAAATGAGATTTTAACAAGCCTCTACATATAGATGAAGCATTTAATAAAGTTGGTTGCTTACACTCACACACCTTAATCAATTCAGGAACGTGGTAGTTATCCAGCAAATTACGAATGCCTCTGTAGATATTTTCAGGAACTTTAACATTCTGTGAGAAGGAAAGGGAGAGGTAAAGAAAACCCTGAGTTTAGACAACCAAACTGAAATTTGTCTAAGAGAAATTATCTCAGACATAATTTAAGTCTCTAACTCCTGCATGTCATTGAGAAGTGGTCTGGTTGTACTTAAAAGCAGCAATTTCAAATCTAATAGATACATGTCAGGCAGGACAGGCATTATATAGCAAAAATGAAATGGTACCATCTCCTTCAGCTGATGGAAGTATTGTCTCAAATGCTCCTCCTTGGCCTGTACCTCTGAGTCACCCATGCTGTCAATCAAGTTATACAGAAAATAGCCAACAGCTTCTGTGGAAAAAAACAAGAGAAAGCATTCTACTAAAATTACTGCGACTGTCATGTTATCAAGATTAATTTATAAGAAATCATTTTGGTGTGAGATGTCACCCTGATGAGAGGCTCTGAAATGGCAACAATGATCACTGAGGCATAGAGATTATGTGGTTTGGGAGCACATATCTAACTGGTGAGTGAAAGGAATATTAATTATTTTCAGCCCGAGTGACAGCTTTGCAGTACAGAGTCTTACTTCAATCTATTTTCTCCACCACTCTGTGACAGAAGCGGCCCTGCCCAAGGCTTCACCCCTCTCCTGTCCAAAGCACAGGTAGTGAGTGTAAAGAAATGTCTTCACATATTTCTGTACTAATTTTTGTGGACAATATTTTGAAAATTAGAAATGATTGATAAATACTGAGCATAGAAAGTTAAAATACTGTTAATGAGCAGATACAGTAATCCCACGGAGACCTGCCTATTAGCCAATGAAAAACCAAGATTAACAAAGATGTTTTGTAACAACAGTAATTTTCTTATGCATTCAAGCATAAAATTCATAGGGCCATGTGTTAATGCCTAGAAGAGGAGGTTTGAACTTTCAAGAAGGGTACTTTCTTATAGAAAACTATACAGTCCTGACTTCATTAAATGCCTGAATTATATCTTTTAGATAATAAGTTAATATTTAAGTGAAAAATCCAAGACTTTTTCCTACTTTATGTATAAAGTTAACTACACCTGCAAAAAGCTGAAATCATACAGACACTGAGACTCACTGGCTTCTAGACCTATCTCCACAGATGCTATCAGGAACACTGCTGTATACCTCAAAGGCTCCACATTTTGTCTTTTAAAAAAATAATAAAATCATAGACCTTAGAGATCTCAAAATGTAGGCATTGATACAGATCATTAGAATTAAGTGTTTTCAGATTTCACTTTCAAAATCAAGAGTGTTTACTGCCATCATCCTTCTAGCCCATCATTAGACAGAAGAATGGGTTTGTGGGTAAGTTACAGTCATCTAAATAGAAACGCTACCTGGAGGCTCTCGGCAGTAACGTCCACTCTTGTACAACAGTTCTGTTATCTGGTAAGACGGAAAATTGCAGCAAGAGGAGCAAATAAAAACAAATACAATATGAGACTGAATTCTTGAAATAATAAAAGTCTGTACAGCCCCAATGAGGCATTATTCTGTGTCACAGTAATCCCACCCACCCCACCACAGAGATCATTTGGCTTTTAAATAATAGGTTTGTCTTCTAAAAACAACAAAAAAACACACGAAGGAAAACTGCAGTATTTTATGAAACATCACAAAGAAAGGCGCTAAAGTGATGTTTAAATTTGAATTTAAATACTCAAAAGTTATTCTGCTAACCAGAAAATCTCCCAGGACTGTAAAGCATTATTTCTCATTAGTGTTTATAGTCCACTCAAACTGGATCAAGTGTCCCCCTTTTGAATGAAATACCAGGGAAATAGTAAGTAAAATGTGCTGGACCAGAAAATAATATGTACTTTTTATTTCTCAGTGACATTTTTTTCATTCACTTAATGAGTTTAAAATATGAGTCAAAGACTCAAATGTGTTTGAATTCAGATTCTTATCAATTAAATTCACAAACACTAAAACCATACACAAATTAATTTTTCAGCATTAATGCTATGACCAATTTTTAACTTAAAAAATCCAAGAATACACTTTATAATCAAAATTAATATAGACCTATGGTACTGACTTGTAACCCTATTTGAACCTACAAATCTTCAGGCTGAAGACAGCAGAAGCATACAGTAGTTGTCCAAAACGATAAGGGTCAGGACTAGCATGTGAAGTCTACAGCTGAGCTTATCCTGGCATACATAATTAGTGTTAATAAAAGCCAAACTTCAGTTACTTGTATCATCTGTTGGTTGAGACGGAAAAGTGGACAAAACTGATCCTATGCCACCATGAAATGCTTCACTTAATGGCAATCCAAAGGGTAGGTAAGATACAAAAGAAAAGCAGCCTTCTACAGGCTGTCTATTAAGCAACACACACAAAGACTACTAGTAAATTCTACAGAAACTGAGCTGCACAAAGGTGTGAGACAGGCGTAGTATTTAGTAACAAATTTGAACACCCATTTAATAAATAAACCAATGAAGTCTCCTTGATCAATGAACTGTTTCTACATACAACCCAACTATATACTAAATTAAGTATAAAGTCTGAATGGCAGCTGTAGTAAAACTAGATAGAGAACTGATTCAAACTACATTAAAAAAAAAAAATACTTGGGCCTGATTTGCCTAGCGTATGTAAGGCCTTGTGTTCAACCTTGGAACCAAACATATAAAACACAATAAATTTAAACTGTGAATTTGAGTTTGTATTCTGATCTTCTTGGGCTGAAATTCTTCAAGAAATCATGAACTGTTCTGGCACACAAACCAGCTGACCTCTTTCAAAGGCGGTGGGTTGGTCTACGTACCATTACATATAGGAATACATATAAACAGATACCCATGGATGAATCCAGAAAATGGGGTTAGAGATGAGCTCAGTGAATGAACACTCACTCAGGAAATGTGAAGCACCACACAAAAAATTATTAAGCCTGTACATTCAAATGCCACCACAATAATTTTAGAAGTTTTGTTTTGAAAGATGAAAATCTTAGTAAGAATTTAAGATTAAGTCAAAGACTACTTGAATAACATTTTTCCTGCTGTTTTAAAACTACCAATATCAAGACTTTTAATCCATTAGTTTGTAGTAATATATCAGAAATGTGTGAAGCTATTAAAACTTGCTCTTGATGGCTTTTCACGCATCACATTATGGTTTGCAGTATTAGGAATACTTACCTTGCTCCAAAGATCTACATCCATAGACCTGCAGAGGGCAGCAAAGGATTAAAAATAAGCTCAGAGGTTCAAAAAGTATTTTAAATCAAAATATATCAGTAATTATATTATGTAACATGTAAAAAATCACTGCTTTAACAAGTAAATAAATATCAAATTGAATTATTCAAGGAAAGAAATTTTAAAATTTTCAAAATAAACTTTGGTTTGGATAGGAAGGAACCATTAAAAAGCCACCTCTACATGTTGGGGTCCAAGTCTGAAAGGAAGGTTTATTTGCATGTACCCCAAGTATCTGACTTACTTGCAAAGGGGAAAACAGCAACTACTTTGACTGAGTGATCAAGACTAATATCACTCCTGGGGTACTAATGGATATCTATGCTTGTGGACGTAACTCTCTGAAAAGGCAATCTAGCAGGGCAACACACCCAGAAGCTTAACGGGGGAACCACTGACTGCTATGAAGTACAATCTGTAAAAACTGCTAGTGTCGTAACAGACAAAGTTATTCCAGAATAGAGAAAATTGAAAATAGAGGGCAACTAACAGCTATCCCTGAACTGGACTTTGTACAAAAGGGGATGAAATATGAAATATGGAAAAGGACATAAACTATGTTAGCTAAAAATAGCCCAGCAATGTTTAACTTCCTAAATTTGTTAACTGTGCTGAGGTTACATAAGATTGTCCTTTTTGATTACATGCTGAAATATGGAATGGTAGAGGGTCATAGTGCTAATTAAGCTCTAAGAACTCTGAAAATGTCCATCTCATATAGATCTATTTCTCATACACACAAACACATGTAGAGGCAGTAAAAATGACAAGACAAAATACTAAATGCTGGAGTATAATATATATGGATTCTCTGTATTATAAAATCTGAAAACAATTCAATGAAAGAAAGAAAAAAACAAGAATCAAATATGGCCTATTTAAATGAAACACAATTTTCAAAGCAGGTCAACCAATGAGTGCTGGCTTCTCACAACTGCTGAGCTTTGTTCTCAAGTGTCCAGAGCAGTACATATCCAGTTCAAAGAGAAGAAGACAGTGCTTCTGTGGTCATTTTACAGTGTTAACAATGTCTGCTTTGCAGGAAGGTACTAAAGGATAGCCTCTACTAAACACGAATAAAGAAAAAAAACATCGGGTGTGGCTGCAGTGATCCAACGTGGACAAACAGAGAGAACCTCCAGGATGAAGGTCATCCGGGGGAGGGAAGACCACTGTGCAGGGCACATAATGGGTCTACACCACAGGCCACCAGCACTAGGCACCTATACATCATTTTAGCGTAAGGTATTGATGCATCTAATTATTCGTCGATCATGAACTGGTGTAACACTTCCTTACCTCTCCATGCCCTGCACTTGAAGTTGAAGCATTTTCTTTTTTTTTTTTTTTTTTTTTAACAGATCCTGCCTCAAGTTTATTTGTAAAAACAGCATGGGGTCCTGATCATCTGCATATAGTGTGTAGGTGTGTCACACCAGTCCATCTGTCTGGCAGACAGAAACCTTTTCTATGGGGCCTTCACAGGGGCCTGGGCACCTTTGGGAGCCTGAGCTGGAGCTGAGGCCTCTGCCTTGGTTTGAGCCTTGGGCTTTGGCTGGCAGAGCCTACGACCCTTGGCCATGTAGTGAAGCATTTTCTTAAATGTAGGAGGGAGGCCATAGTGAGCCTATATTTAGTCACAGGTTCCCCAAATATACTGATCCCTATGCGTCTCAGGATTAACCTCTGACCTTCCCAATGACTTCCCTGGAAGAGGCATTTATAGGCTTTTAGAAAAGCAGAAACCTGACCTGCCCAGAGACTGTTCACATGAGTCTCCAGGGAGACTATTGCTTTCTCCATATGACCAGGCTTCTGTTTAGTCGTTCAAAATTAAGTACATATTGTTGAGAATATATAAAATGGCACAATGATAGAGAAACTCAGGGGAAGGGCTTCCATCAATGTCAGGACAGCAGGGAGCTTCAGGAAGACATGGAAATGAGGAAGGATATGTAGAGGAACTTACAGAACCATGGACATTCTGTAGGGGACAGGTGTGTGTTTGTTTTATATGGTGATTCAATTTTGAGATACTCCTCTGAATGTATAACAATGTATACAACTCACATTAACAAGTACAATAGAAATTTCCCAAGTCCTCACAACTAATAAAACACTGGACTCATTCTGAACCCAGATAAGATGGCTATGTATGAACCTTGGCATGCTCGCTGTATAATAAATTAACAAATAATTCTTGCTTCTTTTCTGTCTACAGAGAAAATAAGTTTCTGAGAAGGTAGAATTTGGGTTTGAAAAACACTGGCACCATTTCTGTTGAGGACTGACTGCAGGTTTTAAGCAAGCTTCTTCTAGAGGGGAAATGGACTTTGCTTCTGTTACTGGAGTTAAGGAGTCAGAAATGGCTGGGTGACAATGACATGCTGCTCTGGGTTCCAGCCAGCGCTGCTCACAGCTGTCCACCAGTTCCTCCTTCGGGGGAGTTTGTATGGTAAAAACAGAAAGGGAGCTAGAACAGACACAGACTTTCTCATGGCCAAGAGGAGTAGCAGTGAGGCACATTATTTCATTTTTTATAGCAATTAGGAAGTAGTTAGGAGCAAACATCTCATTCCATCTCTCAGTTCTGGTGAGGTCAAGATATCACCGACACCAACGTTTTACACAAAGGACTTGAAGATCTGGCATTAACTTGAAGACTCTCCAGTGGGACTAATGTTCGTCTTAAATGCTTTAAGTTCCAAAACCTTATCTTTCCTTTCAACATATGGCAGGCAGCTATCCCTAACAACACAGACTTTTAACTGCCAAGTTCAGATTGCTGCCAACAAGTCAGAAAACCCCTCTTCACCACAGAGCTCTTCTGTAAGAAATGCTGGCCTGCCACCTAGCCAGTTCTCCAACATCTCTGAAACGTGCTACTTTCCCCAACCACGTCTGTGCTGGCTTCAGTGCGTATCTGCATCCTGGCAACGGCTCAACACTTTGGAGTATTTTCAAGTATACAGTCAAGGGACACTTTCTGCTTGTTCACAAAAACTTTGTTCTATTGTTGATAAAAAGTAAAGCAATGTCTTACACATTCTACACATAACTTCATCCTAGATTTGATAGAAAACTCAACTTCCAAACGTGGTTTATTTCCTTATTTGAAGACAGGATCCCATAGCCCAAGTTCATTATGGCGCTGAGGCTGTGCTGAACTCCTGGTTTTCCTGCCTCCACTTGCAGAGTGCTGAGGTCACAGGCACAGGTCATCTTGCTCCATTTCAGCGGTGCTGGGGACTGAACCCAGGGAAACATGCATGCTTTAATCTACCAACTGAGCTATGTTCTGAGGCCACAAAATACATTTTATATAAGGAAAATTTATAATAAAAAAATTTCCTAATAGTCATGAAGCAGTATTCCACTTAAATGACTTAAACTTAAGTGTCTTTGCCTACGCATGTTATTAAACAATTTATAAAATGGGACACTATATACAGACACACACATATCAATTCTGGTGTTCTTGTTTTAAAAAGACAGCATGTTTAAAGTACTTACTGTTCCCTAACTGGTCTAACAAGGTCCAGATAGAATGTTGCTGGGTAAATAAGTGTGTCCTCGAAGCAGACATGGTCAGTATAGGCACCTGTGAACAACCATTTCGGGAGCTTCTGACTGAACACTGCTCTCCAAAGATATGAGAAAGTGATGTTTTTCAAAGTGGTCATGTGACAGGGCTGGCAAAGTATCTCAGCTGGCAGCCCACATCAACTGGGAGGGCTGTGCACCTGAGAAGGAGAAGGATCACAGTTCCAGGCCATCCTCAACTGCACAGCAAGCTTACGGCCAACATGGGCTTCAGAAGACTTGACATGAGGGGCAGGAAACAGAGACAAGAACAACTAAAAGGGCTCAGCAGGAAAAGGGGCTTACAAGCCGGTAACCCACGTTTGGTCCTCAGAACTCAGTGAAAGGAGAAAAGCCAACTCCTCTGAACTCTACACATGCACTGTCCCCTACCCAATAACAATGATATATTAAAAAAAAGAAAGTATGTTGGTTAGATTTTTGACAACTTGACACAAGACAGGGTCCTCTAAGAAGGAAGAAACCCAACTGAGAAACAACTGAGAAAATGTCATCAGACTGGCCCACAGGCAAACTGTGGACTTTTTTTTTTTTTGACTGATGACTGATATGGAAGAGCCCAGCTCACTGTGGGTGGTACCACCCCTGAGCAAATCATGGGAAGCAAGTGAGTAAATGGCATTCTCCATGATCTCTGCTTCACTTCCTGCTCCAAGATGCTGCTTGAGATCTCTTCACAATGGACTGAAATAAACTCTCTCAAAGGCAGAGTTGCTTTTGGTCATGGTATTTTACAACAACAGAAGAAACTTAAGAAAATCTGAGCCAAATACCTTACTGCCCAAACATGCTAGGAACAACTGCCCACTTAGGCCCTGGGCCTACTATAACTACTAAGAAGGTTTTATTAAAGTTGCATAATAATAAGATGTGTATCCAAATTTCCTCTGGGCTTATCTAGAGTGACTTAGATGTGCAATTTCCTGGGTTTCTGATTAACTTTCTTTGGGGACTAAGTCACTTCTGATGATCCTTCATGTTTAGTGAGTGTAAGGTACTTGCTATGATAACAAGGACCCTATTGGCAAGAGCACGGCTGATCCACTTATGAGCCAACGTCAAGTCATGTTGTCTCGTCCCAGTCACTGAAAACAATCCTAAATTTGCTCACATACAACACGACACTCAAAAGCACACACAACAGGTGGCTTGACTCCTATATGGGATGTTCTGAGAGATTGTAAAATATGCTACTATTCACTTTGACAACAAATAGAAGACTTGGCTATATTAATGCTGATGTAAAGGACTGTAATTACTCTCGTATAGTTTTGAGTTTTTGTTAGTTTTGGGGTGAAGTGGAAGAGGAAAAAATGACCCCAAGTTACAAATGCCTCTAACAACACCCATACTCTTATAGATAATGCTACTCCAACCTAAAATTTTACTGTATCTACCACAAGCCACTGATAGCAAAGCCTTTAATAGTGACACATTAAACAGTTGCAGCAGGAGCTCCGAGACTTCAGTCCACTGCCCTAGAACCCTTTAAGAGTCTGTCCCTATCAGATGGCCTTAGCTTTATGGTCCAAGTACTTCCACAAGTCTGGAATTTGGAAATATATACTGACAAAAATACTGAAATCAAAAGAAATATCCATAACTTTGAAGTTTCATCAAGGACAACGTTAATGTCATTACAATTAATTTATTAACACAGTATGAGTTACTTCTTAAAAACCTGGTTCTATTGCAGTTCTATCTGTTCAACTATAGCCTATGCTCTGAAACATCTGACATCCTAACATCACTGTGTAGATGTGTAGATGTGCAGGTGGGCATTATGGGGAGGTCAAAGAACAACTCCTATGGACTTGTTGGTTCCAGGGACTGAACTCAGGCCACCAGGATTCCCAGTGCTTTTACCCACTGAGTCATCTCACTTTTTCAGATTGATCTTTTGTTTTTTGTTTGTTCGTTTGTTTTTTTTTTTTTTTTTTTTTGGTTTTTCGAGACAGGGTTTCTCTGTGTAGCTTTGCGCCTTTCCTGGAACTCACTTGGTAGCCCAGGCTGGCCTCGAACTCACAGAGATCCGCCTGGCTCTGCCTCCCGAGTGCTGGGATTAAAGGCGTGCGCCACCACCACCCGGCGATCTTTTGTTTTTAAAGTGTGTGCGTGGTAGGTATGCACTTATTTGTGCAAGTGCAAATGGGTGCACACGCAGATGTGTGTAGTGGCCAGAGGCCACTTCAGGAATCTTCTTCAGTTACCTTCCCAGCGTACTTTGTGAGATAAGGTTTCTCACTGAACCCGGAGCTCATTGACTGGGCTAGGCTGGACAGCCCATGAGCTTTGGGGATATGTCTGTCACCTCAGAAGCATAGGGGGTACAGTGGCAGCCACCACACCCAGCTTTGAACATGAATGCGAGGGGGCAGGGGGAGTCAGAGGACAGCTTGGGTTCTCTCCTTCTCCCGTGTGGGACCTGGAGACTAAACTCAGATAACCAGGCCTGGCAGCAAGTGCCTCTGCACACTGAGTAATTGCACTGGATCATTTCAAACGGGAATGTTCGAGCACGGACTTATGTCAACCAGGTGACAATATACTTCACCTTAGGGTAAAAAAATACATGCTGCAACATCCAGTGCTGTGATGTCTACAACTCAGAGTAGTTAGCAAAACAGGAGCACCTGTGTATCTATGCGCACAGCAAGAACAGAAGAAAGCTGCTGTGGGATGGTCTGTATGGCAAGTGTGTTGCTGATTGGTCAATAAATAAATCACTGATTGGCCAGTGGCCAGGCAGGAAGTATAGGCGGGACAAGGAGGAGAATAAAGCTGGGAAGTGGAAGGCTGAGTCAGAGACACTGCCAGCCGCCATGATGAGAAACAGCATGTAAAGATGCCGGTAAGCCATGAGCCATGTGGCAAGGTATAGATTTATAGAAATGGATTAATTTAAGCTGTAAGAACAGTTAGCAAGAAGCCTGCCACGGCCATACAGTTTGTAACCAATATAAGTCTCTGTGTTTACTTGGTTGGGTCTGAGCGGCTGTGGGACTGGTGGGTGACAGAGATTTGTCCTGACCTTGGGCCAGGCAGGAAAACTCTAGCTACAGAAAGCAAGTCAACCGCACTTGTAACCTGTGAAATATGGAATAGGCAGGCAGGCAAAGAACCACTATTCTTTGGATTTTTTTTTTTTTGAGGTGTGTATGTGACTATCTAAAAAATAACAAAATTTGATGGTACTAAAGTATGGTTTAAGTTTCTTCCCCAAGGGTCCACATGATGGACACTTGGCTCTTTCTCACTGTGGCCTGAGGGGAGACCTCACAGTCCTTGCAGCTGTCCTGGGAAGGGGATACAGCAGTTCTGGAACAACAGAGCCTTTTCCCAGAACAGGTTGTTAAAGTGAGTAAGGGCAACCGTCAGTTGCTCTGTGGCTTTCTGCTGTAGGACATGATCACTCCCTCTCACTTGTTCTCAACACAATGTGATATGTCATCGTGTGCTTCAGCCAAGAAAGCCCGCGCCAGGTCCACACCAACAAAAACTCTCCTTTCTCTGTTCTGTTCGCCTGCGTTGGTATCTCAGTGTAGCCACAGGAAACGGTAACACTCAGGAAAACTCACTCAGTTTCCTTGAACATGTAAGAGAGTACTAGCACATATGGAATAGAGTCATTACAATTGAACGCTCAACCAGTCATCTGAATGTGCATGCACATCGCTTGTTCTTCTGTGAACAGAGCTGTAGTTCTCAGAAAGGTAAGAGAGAGGCTGTCCAAATCTAATTAACTCAGAGTAAGCGCTTGTCTGAAAAGGAGTTCCCATCATCAAGAGATCACAAGGACAAGGGCAATCAGTCCAATGACAGAACATTTAGGCTGGTAATCTTACCTCCGAAAGCCTAGAATTAGGCTGCGTCTCAAAGAACTAAACGATAAAGGCACTGCATTCGATTCCACTGCAAAAGAAAGCGACTGTCAAAACATCCCAGGCCAAGTAAACCAAACGACCCACACCGAGCCACACATCATCTGGCGACGACTGGTTCACCTACTTTATCCCTTACAACTGGGAAACATTACTTAAAAAGTAAAATGGCTCATGTAAAGTTACTTAATGAGGCAACACATGTATTTGTAACAAAACTCTGTAAAGCCTTTTGCTTGGTTTTCATCAAATAGCGAATTCATAATTATTCCTTAATATAAACAGTAATTACTTGAATCACCTTGCTACATAACTGAAACTGTATGTTACTGGGCACTGTGGCACAGTAAGGAAATTGGAAAGATGACTTTTATCCTTACCGAAGATGAACGAACGTTATTTTCTAGGAGTTGTGACGGGTCCTGGTGGACGAGTCCTTTCCCACCGTGACCAGTGTCTGCATTTACACAAGAGCAGCAGCCAACCACAACAAAACAGGCAAGCCCTTCCTCCTGCTCCGTCACCAGCCCCCACTGCTCTTTAACTTCTCCGTGTACCTGCTTGCTCTGCTACACACTTGGCATTTAATAGTGCACAACGTGGAATGTTTCAATGCTGATCGCTAAGCCTGATTTTTCATGTAAACCTTGCCATAAAACTTTTTGGCTGGGTAGTGGTGGCACACGTCTTTAATCCCAGCACTTAAGAGGCAGAGGCAGGCGGATCTCTATGAGTTCAAGGCCAGCCTGGTCTACAGATCGAGTTCCAGGACAGCCAGGGCAACACAGAGAAACTGTCTCAAAAAACAAACAAAAAGTTTTTTTTTTAAAAAATAGAGGTATGACTTAGTTGCTGTTGGCACTTTCGGGATCTCTATTATAACGGTATGGTCAAGTTAACTGAATCTTTACAGCCCATGTGAAGTGGCTTTTGAACGACAGAATGAGTGGGATGAAAGGACAACAGAGGCAAGTCCCAAATGAGAGACACAGCTTATAAAGAATAGGATCCTGGCTTAATTTATAGAAGGCCATAGAAAGAAAATCGTTATGAGTTTTAATTCACTCAAATGTACATAAAAATTTTACTTCCACACAGGAACTGTTTTAAACCAATTATAAAACCCTCGGACAAGGAGCTTAAGTTTTTCTACTAATTTCACAGCATTTACATATTTCTTCAAAATATCTAAAAATCATTTACAATATGACCTGGATGAAATTACTCAAGAAACTTGAAAATGGACACACCACATGCCTCTAAGCAACCTTGAGTTTTGTCATGCCTACAAATAAGACTGCGTCCTACACAAATTCGATCAAGAGAGCACATCTATCTATTCCTCCCCACAACTCGAGAAGCTCAAGGATTCTCTGGTCTCAACTTTAACTCCTTTCAAAATTCAATAGACAACTTCTTACAAAAACATCTGGGGACTGGAGAGATGGCTCAGTGGTTAAGAGCACTGGCTGCCCTCTCAGAGGACCCAGGTTCAATTCCCAGCACCCACATGGCAGCTCCCAATTGCCTCTAACTCCAATCCCAGGGGATCTGGCACCTTCACAGACATACACGCAGGCAAAACACCAACGTACACAGAACAAATAAATAAATAAACAAATCTTTTAAAAAAATTTGATGGTATTTAGAAGAGTATTTCAAAGAATACTGTCAAGTTTTTTCCTTAAAAAGGTGGCCAGAAACATCCAGGCAAGCTGCATGGCTGCTGACAAGAAGTATCTTGTTCCCTTAGCAACAAGCAAGTCTGAAGAATCTGCAGACTGACAATAAAGTGGGGGACAAGCTCCCAGGTGTACACAGCCACACTCCTCTGCTAATGCTCCCGTTTCATCTTCTCAGGATGGAAACTCCCTCCACACGTTATGTACACAGTAGAAGGCACACTCAGTATACTCGGAGCAGCCAGCTTTGGTAAACCTCTGACTATCACTTAACATTGGGTGCTGGGCCTCACCCTACCAACATTAGCTAGTTTGGACTATTATAAACGTCAGAATAGGCAGCATGTGCTAATAATCTGCTTTTACAAAGCTTTGACCTATACGATCTAAATGTACATCAATCAAACTTTAACACTTTAAGAAGATCAAAACTGTTGTGTGCCAGGCATGGTGGTACACCTCTAATCCCAGAACTTGGGAGGCAAGAGATGGGGGCAAATCTGTGAGTTCAAGACCAACTGGTCTACACAGCAAGTTCTAAGTGAGCCAGGGCTACACAGTGAGACTCTGTCTCACAAAACTCCCAAAATAAACTAACAAAAGCCTGCTACATTTTAGTTTTAAATGTTTTTCCACAATCTGAATGCCTGACAAATAATATCATGGACATGTTAAAAAAACATAAACTTTAAGAAACATTTATCCATTTAAAAAAAAAAAAGCCAAGCCGGGCGGTGGTGGCGCACGCCTTTAATCCCAGCACTCGGGAGGCAGAGCCAGGCGGATCTCTGTGAGTTCGAAGCCAGCCTGGGCTACCAAGTGAGTTCCAGGACAGGCGCAAAGCTACACAGAGAAACCCTGTCTCGAAAAACCAAAAAAAAAAAAAAGCTCGATTTTAATACAGCATTTGGGAGCCAGAGGCAGGTGGATCTCTGGGTTCGAGCCATCCTGGTCTACAGAGAGTTCCAGGGTAGCCAGGGCTACAGAGAGAAACCCTGTCTTTGAGAGAGTGAGTGAGTGAGAGAGTGAGAGAGAGAGAGAGAAAGAGAGAGAGATGGCTCAGCAGTTAGGAGCACTGGCTGCCCTTCCAGAGGACCTGGATTCAATTCCCAGCAACCACATGGAAGCTCACAACTGTAACTTCAGTTCCAAAGGATCTGACGCCTCATACAGACACATATGCAGGCAAAGCACCAATTCACATAAAATAAAAATAAATCCAATTAAAATATGTTGAAAATGACCAAGTTAAAAGCAGATTTTGCTTCCAGCTCAAAGAACACCTTGATCCAATCATGCTCCCTCACTGTGCCTTTCTGTCAGTGGATCTGACTTGGTGTGAG